ATTTTTAGAACATGTTAAATTAAGATAATTAATTCTAGGATGTAACATAATAATTTGTAACTCGTAACATGATATTATCTAACGTTCAATTAATATAATTTGTAACTCCTAACACGATCACAATAATATGTAAACGTCAATTTATAACATAATTAAAACTAATATATAATGTAATAATTTCTAACTCGTAACACGATAATATCTAAACGTCCAATTTATATTATAATCAACATGTAACATAATAATTTGTAACTCCTAACACGATAAACGTCCAATTAATAGCATAATGAAGTCTAAAATGTAACATAATAAATTTCTAACATAATAATATAGTCCAATTTATAACATAACTATTTCGAATAAATAACATAACAATTTAAAAAAAAATAAAAAAAAAAAAAAAAAAACCGGCCGGCCGGCCGAACCGGACGGACCGGTTCCGACCGGCCGTCGTTTCCGGACGGCTTTCTTGCCGTCCGGCCGGCCGGTCCGGACAGCAACGGTCCGTCCGGCCGTGCTTTCCGGCCGGTATTACTTGTCGTCCGGCCGGCCGGTCCGGACGGCTTTTAGTCCGTCCGGTTCCGGCGTCCGGACGGCTTTTAGCCCGTCCGGAACCGGCGACCGTACACGTATTTTTTCGTACCTCCGAATTTGACGACATTTCACCGTACACTTTCCTCTGAGATGTTTAGAAAAAATGAGAAGGGCAAAATTGTCCAAGGGGGGCGGTGACTAGTAAAATGGGGGGCGGTGAATAACAACACCCTAACAATTAAAGCATATGGCTAGGCTAGGCTAGCTACTACATGTTACAGATATTAATTTCAATATATTTTGATTTCCTCTTGGCTGCAGAAGAATGCTGGGTTACCTATTATTAAATGGTAGTAGTAATTAACATGGCACCAGCACCATTACTTGCTCAAATTAATTAAAACTGTTTGAATTCTAATCTGTGTAGAATATATATGTTCAGAATGTGTCTGTATCATGAACACAGATAATCGTCAAGCATTGGTGTCGCCATGAATTCCAAATTCAAGACGATAGCCAACATTTTAATCCTTCTCATGGTAATTCTGAGTCTGCAAGGCAATGCAATAGTTACCACAAAAATTAGCGAGGATAAAGATTTTACTGAGCAAAAATGTGACTTTTTTACTCCGCCCGTGCCAGATGACATCCCAAAACCCGACAATGACTATGTATTACCACAAGGCTGTTATGCTGATGTGGCGGCACCCTACATTCTGTGCAGCGGGGAAATCGATATTGGTAATCTGAAAGCAAGTGAGGAGTGCAATATGATATGGGGTATGGGTGAAGACTGCTTTCAAGGTGAATTCAGTGAGGATGTTATAAATCGATATGTGTGTGACAAGGAGATTGATTTAATTAAAAAAAGGGCTAGGCAACTTTATCATGATTGTGGAATCTAGAGCCATTGTATGTGAATTTGCGACACTCTACAATATTGATTCCACGAGATATTGCAATTGTCCAAAATATAGATTTCTATGTTACAAAGAGTTGCATTACAAAACAAAAAATTATTTGTAGTATTGTTGTGTAGAGGTGGTTATTTGTATATATATTTATTTTCTTTTTGTACAAGCGTACATCGTAGTTATAGCAAGCGAGGACGAGCAAGATTCTATTATACAAAGATTGTTGTTAAAATAATTAAATATTAAAATAACAATAATTAAATATTACTTAGACTAATACAAATTTCGATGAAGTTTTAATTCTAAACTAACAAAAACAACTATGAATTACTTCTATCTATCTATACTATTATAAAAGGACAAGTAATTTTGTAAAAATAATGATCTGCCTAAAACACCCTTACTTTGATATATTTTTAATGGCAAATTAGTAATACAATAATACCCATCTTATTTTATATTTTTAATTAATAAATAAACTACCTTAAAAAACTCTTACTTTGACTTATTTTTAATGACAAATTAATAATACACTAATACTTTTCAAATCTTATATTTTTAGTTAGTTAATCACTAATATTTAATTAAACAAAATAGAGTTAACGAATCTTCATGTGACCATTAGGTGATTAAAATCAAGTTGCATAATTTTTTAATTATTAACACTTAAAATATATGACTTTTTCATTCAATTATTAATAAAAAAATGTTCATGACACTTTAATTATTATTAATATTTCATTTGAGCAATTGATTTTCAAGTTGAGCGATCTATAAACGATTATAATTCAAAATTTTATATATAAAATATTTTATTTATTGATATTATTCAAGATTCTTAAATACTTTTATGATTTTCAAAATAAAATTTAAGGGTTTATTTAACCGTAAGTATCCTATCAAGTAAGATAACTGTTTCAACAATATTTATTTAATTTTACAAGTTTATTAATAACCATAAGTAAAATATTTAAAATCGATGTTGTTTGTCCTCATAACGACCACAAACTATAAAAATATTTTTTTTTTCAAAATAACGTATAAAAAAAAAGAATAAATTGTGTAATAATATGAGAGATAAATTTTTGAATAATTATTTTGCAAACTAAACTTTTAATCTACTCAATTTCTTTACGTAAAATAAGATTAGAATAATTTTATGAAATTATATAGTACAAATACCCGATCCAATTTTTTTCATGTCGAATGGGATATTAGTTGAGCAGCATGATTTTATTTTGATCATACAATTATCTGCGAATTAATTAAGATATCTAAAGAATCATGATATGCCTGAAAATTAATTATTTTTTACCAATAATTATATCATATGTCACCATTACTTATTTATTATTAATAACTATAAGTAAAAAAATTGAAACCCATAATGTTGTCCTCACAAAGATCATAAAGTATAAAAACTTTTTTTTTTCTTTCAAAATAACCTATAAAAAGTAATAATTTTTGTAATAGTATGAAGATTAATAATTTTTGTAATAGTATGAGAGATTAATAATTTTTGTAATAGTATGAGAGATTAATTGTTGAATGATTGTTTTGCAGTCTAAACTTCTAATCAACCCAATTTTTTTGCTTAAAATAATGTTAGAATAATTTTATGAAAATGTATAATACTTAAACCCAGTCTATTTATTTTCATGTAATGAATGAGAAAACTGTAATTATATATAATCAAATAGAACTATGTATAATTAATTGATATATAATAAGACATATGACCCAAAAGGTTCTATATTTAATTTTATGCACTTTTTTAACAAATATAAAAGTTATATATATATATATATATATATATATATATATATATACATACACATATATATAAACATATAAATGACAATATAAAGGAAAAAAGTATTAAATTTGATAAATAGTATTAAAAATCCGTTTAAGTTGTAACACTTATTAATAAATATTAGAAAGTAACAATAAAATGTTATAGTTAATAAATATCGATGTAAACGAGTTGAGTCACTACTAGAGGAATTAAGAGAGCTAATATGGGCTTTTTGGTGGATTCAATTTCTTAACGCAATTCAGGTGTTATTAAACGCTTGTTAATTTTTTTCCTCTTACTAATTCTATGTGTAAGTTTTACATGATAGACAATAGTTGTTTATACTTTTATCCATCATTATCTTTAAATTTAATTAAAAATATATAGAGAATTATGATATGCCTTTATACGTTGAAATTAATTAATTTTTACCAAAAATTTATATCGATATAGTACCATTACTCACCTATCAATTAATATTTATTATTACAATAAAGAAACTTTATTAAAAAATGTAAAAAATATCTTTTGTTTAATATTTGATAATAATATTAATGAGAAAATTGTAATTATACATAATATAATATAAAGATGTACAACTATAATGGATATAATAAGACATATGACCAAAAAAAGTTATATATTAATTTTATACATTTTTTTTAACAAATTTGAAAGCTATATATATATATGAAAGAGCAATATAAAGTAAGAAAATATTAAATGTGATACATAATATTAAAAATATAATTAAGTTGTAATACTTACTAATACATATGCAAAAAGTAATAAATAAAAATTTTATAATTAATAAATATAAATATAAAACTTGTAAAACTTGCACATATCGATTTAAACGAGCTTAATTGTTAAACGATTGTTAATTTTTTGTGCTTATTAGTTATAGGTGTAAGTTTTAGGTTATTGATAATAGTTATTTGTACGTTAATACATGTAGGTTATAGGTTTTAATTTTTTTAAAAAAATAAATTGATTATTGTAATTTTAAATAATTTTGTCTTTGTTATTAGATTTTTTTAATATAATATATAAATATCATATTGCATATATAAAATAATACTTATTTCCATTAATATGTAGGGAAAGTAATTAAATTGAAAAATTAATAGGTAATCTACGCATAAAATAACGAGTGACTTGTAAGAAAATTATATGGACTAAAAAGTAGATGTTTTAATATATTTTTAAAAGAAAAATTATAAACACAATTAATAAATAAAAAATTACTACAAAAAAAATTTAATGATTATGAAAGAATTTAAAAATTCCATATTATAATGAAAAATCCAACAGTAAGGTATTCCGTAGAAAATACCAACAGATATTTCATTGGTAAAACTTCTATTGAAAAGATTCACTGGCTATTCCAATGAGGATTAAATTAAATTACATTAGAATTTTTGTGGATTTAATATCTCAATTACTAATATTTATTTTTGTGTGAATTTATGTTGGATTTTTTTTCCGGTCATATTTCAACCATTAAAAAAATTGTCACTGAAATTGGGAAAAACAATGAAAGTTCCATTAAAAAAATAGCTGTAATGGCGAATCCAAAATAATTTCATGTTAAGAGTACTATTTAATTAATACCAAAAGTATCAGTAATGCTAAGGAGCCAACTGTTGATTCCGTTACGAAGCCAACAGCCAATGGAACAGCTTCATGTGGGGCTGTCCCACATGGCACCAATGTGGGACAACCCCACATGGAGCTATCCCATTGGTTGTTGGCTACGTAATGGAGCCAACAGTTAATAAAGTATAATTTTCATAATTTGTCAACTTTCTCATATGTATTATTTTTTTTAACACATCAATACAATCACAATAACTTCAATAATATCTAAAAACAAGCATATTTTTTCTCAATTCGACATAAGAAAATCACCAAAAAATAATACATTTTGCAAAAAAAATTTATGAAAAATAAGTGTATGTAAAATTCTAGAGGACATGACTAAAATTATATAACTATAATTATTTGATTTTACCAAAAATAACTATGAATATATAACTATAATTATATTATACGTTACATTTGTCAAAAAAAAAATATACTTGGTTGAGCTGTAAATTAATTCATTATTTGTCTTTATTCTTTTAATTTTATTTTCTAAATAGAGGACATGACTAAAATTATGAAAAATGTTCCCGTAATGTTTGTTAGATATCTTATGCTACTTGTTTTGGGATGAGGCCTGTTTCGGGACTATTGGACAAACATGGATCTGCACATGATTGCAACAAAATATTTTTGTAAAAATTTTCATTGAAAAATTTAAACGAGAATAGTAACGCTGAAATATTCGTTTGAACTGTTGTTGAAATTCCGTTGTAATATGTTTTCATTGGAATTTCATCTTTTTCTTGTAGTAAAAGTATGACTCCAAATCAAACTAGAAACTATATATAATATTGTGTGCAGTTAATTGTTTTGAAAATTGTTGATAGTTATACAAAATATAACATATTTAATTTATGATAATTAGTAATTTATAAAAAAAAAAGATACATCTAAATTGAAAAGTCATTAAATATTTTATTAGTATTATAATAATTAAAGAAGAGGTCATAATGATGTTCTACTGAAAAGGTAATATTAATACTAAACAAGTTGTAAGAATGATGTTCTACGTAATGAAAAGGTAAAACTACACAACGAGAAAGCTTATAACTCACATTCCACCAAAAAGTAAAAAAAAATGATAAAATTAATAAATGTCCTATATCAATTGGAGCTAGCGAAGGATAAATGTAAAATATATTTGAGATGCACATTTATAAAAAATATATTTATTTTTTTATCTTAGAAATCGGTATGTTTGTCATATTTTTTTAATTAAAAAATTAGTTAATCTTTACCATTATTTTTAATTTTGAAATACTTAATTTTTTTTGTTACCCTTTTATATGTAATATATCACATCATTTCTTTCCCATGATATTTGATTTTACCAATGTTTTGAAAATAAAATAAAAATAATATAATTATTTCTATCGATATAAAATAACGTATATATATATATATTTATCAATAGCAATTTAAAATAATAAATAGACCTAAAAGAATCTTGTAAAATAATTATAGATCCATGTTAAATCAATTTTATTAATTATAAAATAACATTAGATCAACTTGTGGTATATTTTTCTGAAATAGATTTGAAAAA